TAGTAGGAAGAGTTATAGAGAGAGTCAGTCTGTATATAGTCTATAGATAGTACACCTGAGAGACAGAAGTCCTAAGTTCTAGTACAGAAGAGTGTAGAACCTACAGAACTGAGAGTGTAAGAGTAGTAAACTGTAACAGTAACTACCTATCTTAGTACAAGGATGACTGTATACCTTCTATTATAGATAGTATAGTAAGTTTAGACTATAATATGTGTAACTTCTGTATTTTTATACATATGTTAGGATTGTTTGTATACTAACTTTACTCAGTTGAAAGTACTATTTTACTGTGTTGTGTGTAAAGACAGGTAAGTAATTAGAAACTAAAATTAGTAACCTTTTGTCTTCATTTGTAATGTAAAGAAATGACAATAGACCTAGCTTAAAGAGATCATAGTGTCCTTTAAGACTACTAGATTGTGTAATTTCTAGAGAGATAGAATCAGTCCTATAAAGACATCTTAACTCCTGAGAGGTATTTTCAGCTCTAGAGGTCATGTCTTAAGTAATAGACACTATAAAAGCTAATATGTTTCTACTATCATATTCCACTTATAAATGGACAATACAATAATAGCTTGTTGTCAAAGACAATATTATAATGTGTGTCTGAATTAGTACACAAAGTTTCTTTTCAGTCATATATGAAGACTTTCAGTACAGGTTTCTTTGTATGAAACAGGGTACTGACCTTTTAACTAGAAATATACTATCAGATACAACCTTAGAGGCTAGAACAGTTAGATAGTACTTATTGTCAAAACAGAATGTATCCTACAGCAGATCCCTGATTGAGTAACAGACTGCTTTACAACTTGCTTAGATGTTGTCCAACATATTCATGAATCATAAGGTGTTATTTAACAACAAGCAATTAGGACTATAGAAACATTTACTGTAAGTTTATTTACACAGACTTTCTTTCTTTTACACTAATGAGTACAAGCTTGTAGTAAGGTTTTACAGTATAGTATATTATACACATACACCTGTATTGTATATAGTGTGTATGTGTATTGTATAGTTATGTAGATGCAAAAAATATGTGTATATTTCTATACTGTATACAGTGTATACAGAAATCTAGGATTAGTAAGTAAAATTTAAAATAATAAAATAAAAATTATGTATATAAACTGTAGTTACTTTAAATTTCCATTTAATAAGATTATACTGTTTATTTACTACATTTTCTATTACAAAAACTGCTTAAATAGTATAGTATTTGACACTAACTCTTAGTGTTTCTGAGCATTAGTATGTTATGTAATATTGTCTCTCTGTTACACTCTAGTGATTTCTGAGGGATATACAGCTCTATACATTATTTATTTACTTTAGTAATATTAAGTATTTGTTTTTTAAGATAAATAATGTGTTTTAAGTAATAATTACACTGTAAATCTATATAGTTATATGTTGGCCAGCATATATACTATATATACTATATACAGAAATATATGTGTGTAATTATACAAGTGTATACATATATATAAGAGATTATATGTATAGAATCCTAGCTTGTAGAACTATAATCCTGTAATTACTACACTTTTACTCTTAGTACAGATCTGCTACATTTAGGTTGTTCTCATTCTTTACTTTTTGAGTACTACTTGTTTCTGTTTTACATACCCAGTTTAGCACAATTAGCCTGATACTGTCAGCCATTAAAGCCAGGTTAATAATCCTAAGGAGTGTAGTACTAGATCTGTTACTAGCTTCCTTAAAGGGGACCTTTTAGACTATAATAGTCATTATAGTGTTGTTATAGTGGGTTTCTGATTCAGGACTCTCCCTATACAATACACTAATAGCTATTTGATTTAAGGTTCCAAATTACCACACAATGTACAAACTTGTTATATATAATTGTCTTTATTACCTAACAAACTAGTGTATTAATATTAACAATTATATTATGATTGTCCTACAGTATATGTTAATGTAGTGTCAAACATTGTTGGATTTTCCAGGTGCTTGAGAAATACACAATATATGATAACATACTGTAGTGAGAAATGTCAGTCCTTTACCCTATCACAGGACATGTTAATTCAAAAAGGCTATAACATTCTAGCATGTAATAATGGGCTATATTTTCTTTGATATTTACAGTGTAAGCTGGACCATGACAGTCAGAGAGAGGTGTGATCAATGAGGGGCTGTTGAGACAATGGGTGCCAGGAACATTGGGAAGGCCTGGAAGGGTGCTCTTGATCTTCTGATTAAAGAATTTGTTAAGAGTCTCAATGATCCTACTTCAGCACAGTAAATATTGATTGGTCTGACACCTGTAACATATTGTGAAATGCAAAGCAATGCTACTTGGCCTTTAAATGCTCCTCAAACATGTGCACTCAAAATAAATTGGAATGAGCATAGAGCACTGAGCACAACCTGCAACAAACATGTAGTGTTACTTTTTTGAATAGATATATTGTACATAAGTTCTTAGGGTATATTCAAAGATCCATAAGCATAAGTAATCGGCACAGCTCATTTCCATATTAAATATCTATCAGGAACATACGTGGTCTGGAATTCATTCATAATTAATATTGATTTATATGTACAAATCGCAGTTATGTAATCACGTATCGGTTCGACTTGACGCCGCAGAGTGCACTGTATGTAACTCTCACTTGTCAACTTGACTAGTATGTCTGGAGCGCATTCCTTCTGCTCCCTCCTTTATACCGCCATTGGAAGAACTTGCCTTGGGTGCGTTATTACTGCCAACACGATGATGAACCTGTCCTGTCTGGTCTTTTCCTGCGCTTAATTCTCTTGCAGTCGTATTTCCCTTTGCTTCACTCGGTGCCTTGCTCGATGTGCGAGCGGCAGGAGCTGGCTTGTCTTTCCTTGCGCTCGCACTACTTTCAGTCCTATTTGCTTTTGCTTCACTCAGAACCTTGGTCGGTGTGCAAGCGGTAGGAGCTGTCCGGTCTTTTCCTGTACTCAGACCACTTTTAGTCCTATGTTCTTTTGCTTCACTCAGAACCCTGCTCGTTGTGCGAACGGTAGGAGTCGTCTGGTCTTTTCCTACACGGGAGACTTTTGCAGTACTATGTGCCTCTGATTTGCTCGGAACTCTGCTTTGAGTACGATTTGTGGAGGCCTGCGAAGCAGTGTGATGTCGTATAGCCTGTAGTTGTGGGTCAGTTCCATTTGAGGTCAATCCATGTGATCGCTGTCGAGATTCGGATCGGCCACTTGGACTTTGCAGCCTTTTACGTATCTCCGGGTCTGCAACGGCCCTCCTTGCGAGTCTTTTGAATTCCTTTTTCGCATCGTAGTCCCAACTGACGCCGTCTTTTTCACCTTTGATATTCAGCCACTAGACAATGTATAGTGTTAATAATACGAACTATTAGACGAGCGGGATTGAGAGGTTACAGGGTGGCCAAGTGCTTCTTTTGCAGTCATTCTTTTGCTTGGATCCAGCTCTAAGCATTTTCGCATGAAATCGATTGCTGTAAAAATGTTCTACATCTATACCATCTGTAAAGAACCAATAAGACTTACCATCAGGAGTCATTAACTTTATCCAGGATGGTCCTTCCGGGTCTTTACTCAGGAGTACGTCAATCAAACCCTTGGAGCCATTGTCTAAATTCTCATGACTTTCTACTACTTTGCGTGCCGCTTCCTGAGGAGTGAATTTTTCTGGGTCTTTCCCAAGCTCTATCGCAACGTGATTATAAAGGAAGTTTTCGGACGGGAAAATATACATATTTGCTCTTGGAAAAGGTAAGGATAAACATCAGATGAAATAGAACCGATAGAACCGATAGAACCTACCCCAAGGACCACATGTCCACTGCCTCTGTATACGGCTTATCGGGATGCAGCAACATTTCCGGCGCAGTATAATTTGGCGACCCATATTCACCCTCCGCTCCGTAAACATCCTTTGCTCCGACGCGGAATTTTTCCATTTTTACTAAACTATTAGAAGGAAGTCAATGGGAATTGTAGGATAAAGGTGATACTTTGTGTACAATGCTAAATCACCGAGAACAACGACTTCTTTTAGTGGATCGCCTCTAAGGCATAAGAAAAAGTTTTCTAACCTAGAGAAGAAGATCAGTTGTATTGCATATAACTTACATTGGGTTCATTATTCCGCTCACTTGATGTCTCGATGTATATATTCTTTGTGGTGCAGAAATACAATTGCTTTAGACACCTGCCTATATGAAAAAGTCTAGCCATCTACGCATCCTTATTTATCGGACACGGCTCAACCATACCTAAAATGTCGTGGCATGAGCTCGCCAATGAGATAACCGCGATGCTCGTCGTTATCCAGGTTGAGGTAATAGTCATAGAGATCTCCTAGCTGGGCATATTCGGTTACAAGAACCCAGTAGTCGTTACTCTCAAACACGCCGTAGCAGGTCAACTGCAAGATATACTTTAGTATTATTCTTGTTTGTAGAAGGAAGGAATGAAGATTGGTCCGCACAATATGTCTATGCTCGCGGCTCATTTTCATCAAGTTCTTAGCTTCCTGCAGCACTTTTAATTTCATGTCTTCTCTTTCGTGTTGATTCCTCTCTTTTCCTTTCATGTCCTTGCCTTTCCATATCACCTTAGCTGCAAACTCTGGGTTGACCTCTCTCTTGCGACCCTCAGAGCCGTCTACTTCATACCTGAGTTCATTGTACACCACTCTCTAATGAAGGTGAAGTTGAGTTTTTACACCACGGCGAGTGCAAAGTGTAGCTGTACATGAGTTTGGGATAAAGTGAAGAGACTGATCTATTTAGCGTACATATATGGCGCCAAAACTCCCTATTTGTACCGGTTCCCCAACTATGGCATGAGGCTTTCCAGGGGCCAAGGTCGCCAAGTTAAGGTCAGGTTTTAACCATTTTTCAGAAATCTTTGACTCAAGGCCGGCTTGCAATTTAAGAGCGTTCAGATCAGCCAGTCGCTTTAATATAGGAGGCTTGTACTTCCCCATATGGGCACAGGTATGGCCGCGTATCTGCTATTGTAGGCTGCGAAGTCAGGTTGAGTCGCAGTGTGTGTGACTGCTGTATATTTATGTGTATGCCAGTTTGCCTGTACACTGACTTTGCTGGTCGAAAATAGCATTTTGCTGTCTTATATGTGAAGGTAAGTGTTTGATTAGGTATTTGAATTGACAGCCTTTTCCTCTTTACGTGTGATGCGGAGAAATGACAAGGGACCTGCTTTAAAGACGTTAACGCATCCTTCCGGAATCAAGACTACATACTGGATCGAGTGATTCTCATGAAATTCAGTTATCAAGTGTTGAACGTTACAAATATCAATATTGATGCTATCATACCCTTTTCCCACCTTATGGACAGTGCAAAGGTTGTAAGCAAAGACTAAAGTTTAGGCACGTGCCTGAATAAGCATTTAGAATTGCTTTTTTTTAACGGTGACAGTATGAAGAGACTTCTTTTTGCGTAGGCAGGGTATTTTGCTAAGCGATAGTCTTGGATGAGCAAGCCTGCAGTTCTGACAGGTTTGACCTCAAGCCGGCCATGAAGTGCAGCACCCAGGTCCCTGATCATCAGAATAAAGTGGATTGCAATTTGTCTCAGATGTGGTCGTCTAGTAGCACCGTAGCAGTAGTACTTTCCCTCTTGGGTGGCGGGCACGTGCTGATGAAATCCAATCCTGTGCCGTTGATCAGCTTCCTTCACGTCGCTGACACACAAACAGCGATGCAGTACGCGTACAATCCCTCCCACTCTCGACCTCCTATCACTGACTATGGCGGATGTTCCAAACGTCGTCAACATCGCTATTTCATATCGGGGCAACTCGCATCGTCTCAGTGTCGTATCCGATAGCACACTTGCCGCATTGCACGATCAGCTCGAGCATGCCACTGGCGTGCCGACTTCTCTCCAGAAGCTTCTTTACAAGGGCAAGAAACCTGGTCTTACTCCAGATACAACAACACTGGAGCAGGCTGGCTTTAAAGATGGAATGAAAGTGCAGCTTATTGGGCCCAAGGCAGAGGAGGTGGGTGAGATGCACAGCGTCGAGAGTGAGAAACGGAGGAAAGAAGAGGTGCTCGCGCGGCGGAGAATGATGAATCTACCTAAAGCGAGTGTTGTCGGTACTTTACAATTGCATCATTATCTTGACATGTGCTTTCTTAATGTGTAGCCACGTTCGACGGGACAAACTTCTTCGTCGACATTAAATTACAGGTTTCACCATTTGGTCCCGCTCCCTCATCTGCCAGCCCCCGATACCGCGCTCTCGCTGCTACAGAGGCTCTCTAGTGATCCAGCCATTCAACACGTCATGCAGGCAAGTATTTATAACCTTTTGCTATTGTCAGTTGTGCTCAACTCGATACATTTTATTGGATACATTTCTTTATTTATATTATTAACGTTGCTTTATATACAGGCGCACAAATTTTCTGTGGGTACCCTAACAGAGTTTGCACCGCACGAACACCCCGACCTTCTTGGCCTGAATGTTAATCGTGGCGAGGCAATCAAATTGCGTCTTCGTACAGATGTTTACGATGGATTTCGATTGTACGCGGACATTCGCCGAGTGCTGTGTCACGAGCTTGCGCACAATGTCTGGGGCGAACACGATAACAATGCAAGTCTAGCCCACATGTTTTGCGGTTTTGTCTTAATAATTTAAAAAAAAATTATTAACCTTAACACTCTGTAGTTCAAGACTCTAAACTCCCGACTGAATAAGGACGTCGCGGATTTCGAGCGAGCACAACGCGAAGGTGCTCATACACTGTCAGGCACAGGCGACGTCTATACACCCACAGCACCAACACCCGACCTTGAGTCGGAAGCGCAAGCTTATATCCTTGGTGGATTGTCTCCCGCTGGACCAATTAGCGACACCCGCGAAGAACGAAGACGCCGTGCCTTGGACGCTGCAATCAACCGGCTTCGGAAAGAGGAAGAGGAGCTTGAACAAAGCTGTGGGACTGCTGGCCCTGGACATGATAGAGATGCGAGTGCTTCAACAAGCAATGCCTCTTAATTTTTTGTATTCGTTCTATTGAAACGTGGACGAGATGCTCATATGTTGTATTTCTTTCACCGCTTTTAGGATTGTATTCTTTTTGTACATTTCAAGAGATTGCATCGCCAACGTGGCTTACTATTGGTATTATTCTAAGGGATTACTTGTCCCTTTGAGCGTACTAATATGGATAGGTGTTTGCGAACAGTGTTAGATCTGTTGCATAGAGACTTCAGTACAGAAACAAGCACAAAAGCTAGCAAATGCAAGCTTCGACCGTTTCGCAGGAGAACATCCACCGAAACAGGACCAGTGATTCGGTCTTTCTGCACCAGACCATATCACATATCGTACGCGGGGTCGGGCACCGTCGTCCATTGATCAAGCATATCCTGGGACTCCATGCCAATATCCTCCAGCCACCCAAGAATCTTAGCATCTCTGTCCTCCACCGGCTTTTTTGTGTAGTTCATGCGTGTCTGGTAAGGGTTTTCGTATACACGGCATACAAGAAGGAAACGCGTGTCCTCATCCTTCGGTGAACGGCGAGGTATCTCATCGGGTGAATGAAGTATTTCGGATGATTTCCGTTCAGGACCCGCTGAACGGTGCCATATGCGCGAAGAAAGGCATTCGTGCTGTGTATGTCACCAAGGCCTTCTTGTAAGATACTCGAGGCAATCTTGAAGAGTTGCTCCGTTGTTAGCAGGACGCCTACGTATTTCAACATGCCTACTTCTGCATTAGTTCGTGACTTATGATTATTGAAGTGGACAACTCACTAGGAATCCGACAAGGTCGGTAGGTATTGCTTGGATCTTGCAAAACGGCGTGAAGTTTGAATCTCAGCGAATTCTACTCGTGCAACAATTGCCAATGTGGCTTAAGATGGAAGGTGGTTTCGAGGCTGTCGGGTAATTTCTGCGCAACTAGAAAAGAACAGTACGTGCCTGAGCCACCTTCTGTCAAATCAAATTAAACGAGCCTACTGGTATTCGTGATTATTGTGAATAACTAGTGGCCCTTGTGCAGTACAAGCAGCTATACGCGTCGGCTGTACATGCTGGGCAAGATTTTTAGGAGTCTAGTTAGAAAATCTTGTAACGTACATACCAGCAGCCCCGGTGTTTCTTTTTAGGGACCCATGCCGGGAAATACCATACCATACCTTGTCGGAGCCAGGGTCGATGATGATTCGCGACTAACGAAGTGCTTGTGCCTTGGAGGCCGCAATCAACCGCCTCCGGAAAAAGAAAGGGAAGCTTGAATAAATAGAGGTGTGGGGTGGCTGGCGCCGGGCACGATCGAGACGTAAGTCCTTCAACAAACTCCCCCTCTTGATTTTTTGTAATCGTTCCCTTGGGATGTTGAGTGGACGTTCATGTGCTGTACTTCTTTCACTGCTTTAGGTGTGTAGAGTGTATACTTTTTACACATTTATGAGATCAAATCATCAACGCGCCTTATCGTTTGTCTTGTTCTGACAAGGTTACTTGATCCCCTGAGTGCACCGATGTGGATGGGAATAGGTAAACAGTGTTAGGTTTGTTACATAGAGATTTCGGTAAAGGAACAAGCACAAATGCTAGCAAATGCGAATTTCGGACGGTGTTGCAGGAGTACATCCCTCACACTAGCACCAATCGTTTGATCTATCCCCACCAGACCATATCACATATCGTATTTGGGATCGGGCACCGTCGTCCATTGATTAAGGATATCTTGGGACTCCATCCCGTTCTCTTTCAACCATCCGAGAATTTTGGCATCTCTGTCCGTCACCGGCTTGCTAGTATAGTTCATGCGTGTCTCGCGAGAGTTTTTGTATACATGGCATACAAGAAGGAAATGCGTGTCTTCGTCCTTCGGTGAACGACGAGGTATGGCCATCGGGTGAATATAGTATGCCGGGCTACTTCTGTACAGGTCATGCAGAACGGAGCCAAATGCGCGAAGAAATGAATTCGTGTCGTGTATATCAGCGATATCTTCTTTTAGGATACTCGAGGCAATCTTGAATATTTGCTCCTTTGTTAGCAGGACACCTACGTATTTCAACATGCCTATTGCTGCGTTAGTTCGCGGTTTATGACTAAAAATTATTGAAGTGGACAACTCACTAGGAATTCGACAAGCTTAGGGTCGATATGTATTGACGGCATATCATCCAATCTCACTCGTGATCGTATGTCATTGTTGTGAATAGTTCTCATGCAAAGTAGCTTTGCGTGTAGACCGTACTAGGATTGATAATGATCAGTCCATAACTATTCCATATGTTCTATCTTAGTTGTTTACCAAATAAAAGTTAGCATCCTGTTACTGTAGCCCGAGACACAACTCTCGGCTGACATGGGACGTCGCGGACTTCGGGTGAGCGCAGTACAAAGGTACACACACGTTGCTTAGTATTGGCGATATTTATGCACCCGGAGCCGCAGAGGACGAAGCCATTGTACCTTGGAGGCCGCAATCAACCGGCTCCAGAACGAGGAAGAGGAGCTGGAGCAGAGCTGTGGTACTACTGGCCCTGAGCACGATCGAGACATAAGTCTTCAACGGGCAATCCCTCTTGATTTTTTAAGTTTAACCTTTCTCCTGGGACGTTGAGTGGGCGTTCATATGCTGTATTTATTTCACTTCTTTAGGAGTGTCTTCTTTTTGCGCATTTATGAGGTTAAATCACTAACGCACTTTACCTTTTGTATTGTTCTAACGAGATTGCTTGCTCCCTTGAATGCGCTGATGTGAATAGAATAAGCGAACAGTGGTAGATTTGTTACATAGAATATTTCGATATAGGAACAAATGCGAATTTCGGTGCTCTGCAGGAGGGCAGCCATCACATTAGGACCAGTGGCTCTGTCCGTCTCCACCACTAGACTATATCATACATCGTACTCGGGGTTGGGTATCGTCGTCCATTGATCAAGTATTTCTTGGGACTCCATCCCATTCTCTTTCAACCAATCAAGAATGTTGGCATCCATTTCCGTCGCCGGCATTTTAGCGTAGTTCATGCGCGTCTCGTATGGGTCCCTGCATACACGGCATACCAGAAGGAAACGCGAATGCTCACTCTTCGGTGAACGACGAGGCATGGACATTGGGTGAATGAAGTATTTCGGATGATTTCTGGTCAGGACCCGCCAAACGGTCATATACGCGCGAAGGAAGGTATTCACGTCGTGTATATCATCAAGGTTTTCTTGTAAGATACTCGACGCGAGCTTGAAGATGTGCTCCTTTGTTAGCAATACCCCTGCGTATTTCAACATGCCTACTGCTGCCGCCTGCGTTAGTTCGTGATTTAAATTTTATAATAATTATTGACATAGACAACTCAGTTACTCACTAGGGATTCTACAAGGTCGATAAGTACTGCCAGGTCGTGCAAAACGGTGTGAAATTTGAATCCAAGCAAATTCTACTCGTGCGATTGCCAATGTGGCTCAAAATGAAAGAATAACTTCAAACTTTCAGAGATGATAAATAAATAAAATCTCTGCGCAGTTACGAACATATCACGTGCCTCAACCACCTATGCGGATAAGTTTTACACTTGCTTGCAGAAGTACTATGGGTCAATAAACATATGGTCAATGGAGTACCTATACTAGGTGCTCTTTCAATGAACGTGCTTCACTGTTACTGTCATCACAAAAAAGTCGCAACAAATGTAATTAATAATAGCAAATGTAATGTAATAATGTACTTATATATCAATTACAATTCGAAATTATAATTATACTTTGCTTGTAATTGAAATGTAACAACTGTATATAAA